GGGAGCAGCAGAGGGAGAGGGAGAAGCAGGCTCCCCGCCGAGCAGGGAGCCCAATGCAGGACTCGATCCCAGGACCCCGAGATTATGACCTGAGCCGAAGGCAGATGCTTAACGACTGAGCCATCCAGGCGTTCCCCCCTCCCACCATCATGCTATTTGGAGGGAGAGTCAAATGTGGAAATACAAATGTGCTGCTTTTAAACTGCCAAGACCTCTACAAGTAAGTTTTATTATTACCACGGTGCTAGAAGAAAAACATGCTAGGGCTCATGAAGCCTAGCAGTGGTTAATCTCATTTTTTAGTGCTTACTTTATACAGCTACTTGCATTCATTTGAATGCATTCAAATGTCATTTTGAGAGCTCGAAATGTGCTGTATCAGTTCTGCTCTAAACAAATCCAGGAGATGACCACTGAGATTCCAAATGCAGCAGGAAAGAGCAGTTCAGATCCACCTTTACTTACCCACACTTCATCAGTCTTGACATATGTATCAAGGTACTCCTTTAAAGACTTCATGAAAATTTACTTCTAGAAATAATGACACAAGTGATACACCATCCATAAGGTCAATTCAGGGACAAATCTGTGTTAACATTTTGAGCTCAACCTGCCTCACATAATCCACTTCTTTCACTCATTGTCTCTTCCACCAAACCTACCATGCAGGAAAACCTCTGACACACAAAGCTCCTGGAGATTTGGTCTTTGTGGCTGTGTCATCTAGACAGCTCTCTGAAATCTTGATTAGTTCGGGGATTTCAGGTCTTTAGCAAATTGGAGACCCTTACAAGGCTGAAATCATGTTGCATTTTATTTGGTGGATTAAGGTGAAACTAAGTAGAGCTGAGTGAAGAAAAGATGTCAGAAAACAGAGCCTAATAGGTAATGAGACACTGTGATGGTTAATTTTTTATGTTAACTTGGCTATGCTATGGTGCCCAATAGTTTGGCCAAACACTAGTCTAGATGTTGCTGTGAATGTATTTTTTAGGTGTGATTAACATTTAAATTAGTAGGCTTTGAGTAAAGCAGATTACATTCCTTAGTGTGTGGGGGCCCCATCTAATCAGTTGAAGGCTTTAAGAGCAAAGACCAGTTTTCCATAGGAGAAGAAATACAGCCTCAAGACTGCAAAATAGAAACCTTGCCTAAATTTCTCATTTATCTGACCAGCCTGGAATTTGGGCTCAAGATTGTAACATCAACTCTTACCTGAATTTCAAGCCTGCCAGCGTGCCCTACAGATTTCAGACTTGCCAGCCTCCACAATTGTGTGAGCCCATTACTTTTTTAAGATTTTAATTAATTAATTAATTAATTAATTAATTAATAGAACATGCAAGCAGGGGGAAGGGAGAGAATCTCAAGCAGACTCAACACTGAGCATGGAGCCTGATGTGGGGCTCAATCTCATGACCTGCACCGAAATCAAGAGTTGGATGCTAAACTGACTGAGCCATCCAGGCACCCCAAGTGAGCCAGTTTCTTACAATAAAGTGTATGCTTGTTTTCTCTCTCACCCCCCCCAAATAAAAGGGGGAAAGTAGATAATGTAATTCATTCCCTGTGTAGTCTTTTCAAACTTCACCTACTTCTAGTTTTCCAACATTTGCTTCTTGCATCCAAACTAAGTATATAACTTGAAATTCTGCAGGAACAGAATTCTATGTTCGAGATAACAAGTTCCTAAATAAAAGTTGTGTTTTTTTCCTTCCAAATTCTAATATTATCTTAAGGGTAATACTTTCTGATCTTAAATTATAGCCATTTACAGATTTCCTTAAAACCCATGCATGTGTTTTGGAAAGAAATCTAAAACTTGCTGTGTATAAATACTAGAGCAATAATTCATGTTCATTCTGGGAGGCCTAAGACACCACTTTTTTAAGAAAATTAAGACACAGAAAGAAACTAACATTTAGGAGATTGGCACACAGTTGTTTGAAAAGATTAAGAGGAATGCTCACTGTGGATGTAGTCTGATGTTTGCACACAAACCAATCAAGAACAAGCTGACCCAATTATCTAGCTATAACTGCGCTAGTCCCTTTGGGTGCAGAAGCCTGTGTTCTAATGAGAGAGACAAATCTAAAACATACTACATATTTATACCAATATTTTCAGGTTCACAAAACCTTTTGCCTCAGACCCATAAATAAAATAATAAAGTCAAAAAGTACAAAAAAGAAAGAAAGAAAGAAAGAAAGTAAGAGGTGAGCTGCTTGTTCAAGGTTGTAAGAGTGACCAGAGCAGGGCTCCACTGGTTTACTTAACTTTCCCACTGCGTTAGCCCTGCTCTTGGTGGCTCTGGAAGGTGCCATGGAGGACCACCTGAGAACAATTGCGAAGTCAAGTTTCCTACTTCCTCATTTTCTAGAATCCATGGATTATGCATGTGTTATCCATTTAAAAGCATTTGAGGGCGGACAGAGAATTGCTAAAAAAAAAAAAAACATATATACACAGACAGGGGGGTACTTCAGTTTCAGAAAATGTAAAATTAAAAAAAAAAAAAAAGATGTGCCTTAAAGACTACCTGTCACAAACATTACACGAAAATGATTACAAGGCTATAGAAATTCACAAGAGAAAATGCCAACATGACTGAACAAATCAAGACAGACTTTGTTGGGAAGCTGACACTCTATAGGTTGCATTTGGACAGGAAGAGAACAGGAGGAACCATCTAGGGGCAGCAACAGCATGAGCACATGTGTTAGAGTAGAAATGACAAACTGATTTTGGAAAACTTGAGAATTTTCCACATCTTCAAGTCCTGATTTCCTTTTGCTTAATACCTGCCTCAACTCATTTCTCTCTTCTTGCATTTTACTATGAGCAATCAGGAAGAAACAAACTCCTTTAAAACTTCCCTGAGAAATCTCCTCAGGTAAATACCCAATCTTATAGCTTGCAAGTTCGACCTTCCAGAAAACACTAGAACACTAGTTAAGCCAAGTTCTTTGCTATTTCATAACAAGGATCTCCTTTCTTACAGTTTCCAACAGCATGTTCTTCATTTCCATCTGAGATCTCACCAGAAAGATGTTCAACATCCATATTTCTAACATTCTGTTTCTGATTAGTTACATACTCTCTAAGAAGATAGAGTCTATCCCTGAAGCTCTCGCTTTTATTTCTGAACACTTACCAGAATCACCTTCAACATCTATTATTTCTACCAACAGTCCCTTCACAGCAATGTGGACTTTTCCCAGCATGCCCCTCAAAACTCCTCCAACCTCTACCCCTTCCCCAATTCTAAAGCTGCTTTGACATTTTTAGGTATTTGTCACAGCAGCATCCTCCTTCTTGGTACCAAAATCAGAGAGGAAAATGAATGAAATGATGTTTATTTTTTTTTTAAAGATTATTTATTTATTTATTTGAGAGAGAGAGCCCACGAGTGAGAGAGAGCAGGGAGGAGCAGAGGGAGAGAGAGAGAATCTCAAGCAGACTACCTGCTGAGCGGGGAGCCTCAGTCGGGGATACATCTCAGGATCCTGAGATCATGACCTGAGCCAAAATCAAGAATCGTATCCTCAGCCCGGTGAGCCACCCAGGCGCCCCTGAAATGATCTTTATTGAAAAAATATAAAATTACATGAATAGGAAAAAGATCTGATTAGTAATCCCAGAAAACATATAGGCGTGAAAAAAAGACATGAAACTAAAAGAATTAACTCTAGAATGTCCAAAGTTAAAGAATTAATAAACTGGAAGAAAGAACTGAGAATTTTACTCAGGATGCAGTATAAAGAGAAAAATTGAAAGAGTTGTTTATATGGAGTGTCCTTTGAGAATCACCGTTTCATAAAATTTTAGTGGATTCTAGTAAAAGATAATAGAGGGATAGTGCAGCAAATTAGTCAAAGATATAATAGCTGAGAAATTTTAATATATATAAATAAAAATTGATAGAGAAAATACTAAACTTTAATTATCAATCCAACAAAAATTAGCCTGCATGAATAAACTAGGCAAGCCTCTAGAAAGTTTGATCAAGGTAGATGTGTACACACATAAAAATTAGGAAAGGAAGAAAAAAGAAACCAGGAGAAATCTCTGATGAAAGAAAAATACAAAATAAGGTGGTCAGTGTAACTCAAAGTACATTGTAACGACAATAAATGTAAATAGATTAAATCACTCTATTAAAAATCAGAAATTATCAGCATGGATATAAAAAAATCAGTTATATGCTGCTTATAAGGCACACTGCTATACACACATGCACACAAACACACTCTGAAACAGAAAATATAAAAAGGAAAAAAAAGAAATATACTAAGCATATATGAACCAAAAAAGAGCTGGTGCAACAATATCTGTCAAAATAGAATATGAAGTCAACACATTAATGTGAATAAAGCAAATAAGCTATACTTCATGAAAAGGCTATAGAAGTGATAAATTTGTATTTGCCTAACAATATAGAGTTAAACTCTAAAACACCAAAAGCCAACAACTACAAAAATTCAGAATTACAAAATAAAATTGAAAAGCTCATGTAAGCATAATGGCAAAATTTAACACCTCTTTCAGAAACCACATATTTGGAGAATATACAGAGAATCTGAGGAACGCATAGGACATAATTGTGAATTTACATATGCCTGCACCCAAAAGACAACACAACAGAGGATACACATTCTCCTAAAGCATGCATGCAACACATTAGATATGTATAAAATTAACTGTATACTCTCAGTCACAAAAAGTCATAGTTATTCAAACCATATTATCTAATTACTATGTAATTTATTTAGAAATTAACTACTACCACTAGTAATTAAAATCCTATAGGTTAGAAAATCTGAAAAAAACAAAAGCTTAAACAATGAGTAAGTGAAAAAATACTTCACAAAGAGAATCATAAACTGTAATGGTTTTATCAACAAACTAAAATATGAAAAATTTGTGAGATATAGATAAAGCAGTACTTAGAAGTTATGAATAGTCTTATTAAATATATTTACTAAATTTAAATGAGCTAGCATTTAATCCAAGAAGCTAGATGAAGAAGTGAAAACAGTAAGAAAGTTGAAGCAATAGAATGGTAAAAGCAAAACACAAATTAATAACCTAGGAAAAAACATTAATGGAGATGATTTTTAAAATCTATTTCTTTGAAAGCTAATAAACTAGGCAAGCCTCTAGAAAGTTTGATCAAGGTAGATGTGTACACACATAAATGCATTATCATATAATGGAATACTAGACGGAGTGAACCAGGTCATCCATACAGAGGAATCACAAAACCTATGGTAAAAAGATAAAATTGCTGAATGATAAGAATTTCTGTAGTTTACTTATTCATTTAACAATGTTTTGTATGTTTATATATACAAATTGTGTGTGTGTGTGTGTATGCATGGGTATGTTGTGGATATTTATGTAATAAAGTCACCTCTAACATTTTCTTAAGAAGTGTAAAGCACGTGGTGAAATGTTAGCATTTTTAAATCTTTCAAGAAATTAAATTAATATATGTGTGCTTGGAGTTTCTTTTTACCCCCTTTACTCAATCCCATTCTTTCCTTCCACAGAGGTAATCACTATCCTGAAGACGGTGTTGTTTTGTTTTTTCTTTCCCAACTAGTTTTATATTTTTACATTTTGGAAAAACTCCCATTCTTACAAAGCAGTTTCGCTTTTTCCATTTTAGGAAATTACAACTTTCCTTTGACAGTTTGGTTTTCTAGTTGTTTCTTTTATTTGACAAAGGAATGATACCATTTTTTAAAGATTAAGCCAACTAAATTAATACTGACATTTAGGCCAAGGACCATAAGGAAGCCAATTTTTTCTTAGCACCAATTATGTTGTGGGTAAGTAAAACAAAACAAAACTGGAAAATAGAGTCACCATCCACTATAAATCTTCAGAGTATTACTGGCCCATTCGGCTTAAGCATAGAAAGAATTACAGAAAAATATAAAAGGCATCGTTCAGTGCTCTCTGAAAAGAAGTGGCTTCTTGTACTAATATATATTCCATTCACCAAATTCTTACATGTTGCTTTTGTGGAATAAACATTGAGTGATTATATATATATCCCACTTAATTTATCATGGTAATTAATCCCAACCATCCATGATATTAATTTGCTGATATTGGTAGCCTGTGAGTCGCTTTCTTTCTGGAATAAAATAGGAGAGTCATTCTAAGTACCTTTATTTTACTTCTGGAGATGTTTAACCTTAACTACATCACTAAGTGCAGATTGACTGATGACTACACACATCTTACTCCCAGGTACGGTAAAGGCCAATATCAGAATGTCTAATTGCCTTTTATTCATTCTAGATTAGGCAATTAAGTTCTTTTACAGTTTATCAGAGTTCCTAGGATCTTTTCCTCAAATTTAAGAAATAAATTGTTATTCTCAAGGAGACATTATGCTTGAGTCTCCTGAAGGAAATACTAACATTTATTAACCATTTTCCTAGGTCAGGAATCTCTTGAGTTGCCATTGACAAATAAGTTCAATTTCAGCTTTTCTTTACCTTCTGGTATTTCTAGCTCCTCTTCTTTTCAATTTTTTTTTTTTTTAATATCTTCCTTGGCTTAAAAACTCACAGATGCATTGCCCAGCCATGTTTTTTTGCCCCTTTTATTCTGGATTGTTGATATTTAGAAGAAATTTAATACAAAAATGCAATTATTCCCAAATGCATCACACCGATATCAGATTTTTTACATAATGAATAAAAATAATATATCCCAGAACTTGTGAATAAGGCTGTGAAGTCATATCTAAAAAAATTGGTCAAACTGATGATGTCTTATTGCCACCCATTGAAATTCCATATGTGCTGTATTCTACCTCTTCAGTTTTAAAACTTGCAGTTGCTACCAATGTGTATAAAATCTCTACACCCTTCGAAAATTGAACATATTCATTCATATTTTTTTGAGTAGAAATTTAGCCAGGCATTAAAAGTAATATAAAACTAACACAAGATACAGTTGTTTACCACAGGAATTTGGATTTGCTGAATAATGTATGAACACACTGGCATAATTCCCGACGGTGCAAAGCAGCATACGAGCCAATGTCTAGTAGGGGCAAGCGCTCATGTAAAGAACAATTAATTTGAGATCAGGAAGGCTTTGTGAAATTCTGGGAGTGGAGAACCCAGATGGCTACCTAGTTAGTGGGTGGAAACGTAGAGACCAAGGAGAGGTGAGGATTATAGTTAGAAAAGTGAGTGTGACTTATTCAGGGGCCAGTAACGTTTCTGACCTAGCTAAAGCAAAGGATCTACAATGGGAAAGAGTGAAGACAAAATTGATTACTAGAGCAGGTTGCATTGTGGAGGATCTAAAAAAGGACATTTTTTTCTGAAAAAAAAAAAAATTCAAAGATCTATTGATGGCTTCTTAGCAGGTGAGTGAAATGGTAAAATCTGTGAGTTAAGAAGAAATAAATTCAGAGCGATGTTTATTAATGTATGTTCCCAGGATCATTAATTAATGGGGTTACTCCAAAAGGGCCAAGCAATGTCAAATAAGTGTGGAAAAAACTGGAGCATTTGACTTCAAAAGGAAAATACAGAATTTCCCTAACCTATTTGACCAGGGAACCCTTTCTAGGAAAACTGTGCTTGGATCATATATTCTATATATATTGATACCAACCTCAATGTATACATTGACATATGTAATAAATGTCCAATTCTGTGTTTTTAAATAGCTCGCTTGGTGTCTAGTTTGATTCTCTGTTCCCAGATTGGTAGAAATTCAGGATCTCTTAATTTCCCCCAGGAGTGTGTCTATGTTCTGGAGTCTTCTAGTGCCAGGGAGTTAGAAGGCTATGAAATGGCGAGGTGGCACTTATCTGCTGCTTTGGGTCATTGATGTATACTAGCATCTGCTGAGATGTCCTCACTGTTCTCTGGTCCTGGGGAATTGGTCAGTACTACTGTTGTTGAGACATGTCTTTCAAACCTGGTGGCTCTCTGTAGTTCTTCCATACTATTCTGGAATTGATGGGAATACTTTTCTTACTGATCTGTTCCATGCTGAGGTATAAGAAACTCTATGTGGACCCACAGGGGCCCCGTCTTTCTTAGACAAGTCAATTAGCTATTCTGTGAGGCCTTCCTGCTTTCTTTTGGCTTCTATCCAGGAAAAGGGGCAGATGTCCCATGTACCTAATGATTTTGGGCTTTTCCCATGAGATTTCCACCTAAATCTTCTACTCTATGCCATGAGTAAGTTTTGTTTCCTAGAAAGCTAAATTTTTAAAACTCATAAGCAACAAAGGGCTCCCTTTTCCTCATATTCTCCTATAGCTTCTATTCCCTGAGGAAGTGATTTAGTTGTCCGTAAGACAGCTTAAGACCGGGACAAGGATAGAGGCAAAGAATACCTGAGGTAAAAAATCAGTTACTATTTCAAAGATACTTCCTACCACACTTTGAATGCCTTTTAGGAAATGCTGATTATAATCCACTGAGGATTAAAAGCCGATGAATAAAAGGATGTGTGTAGTAGTGGTGCTGCCTTGAGCTTTGATTATCATGTGTGGTCTTAATAAATAATGAATGCCTCCTTGTCTTGTAAATCACTGTCTTTGGCATGGTGCTTTGCACAGTCCTCTCCCACATTAACTCTTGAAAAGCCTTTCTTGCTTCTGGCAACTCTTCCTCCACCATATGCAGGACAGGCTAGCTCGTTGAAGACATGGGGACCAGCTGAGAGCCAACACCAATAAACAGACTCCTAGGTTAGCTCCAGATGAGCTGCCAGCTGACTGCAGGTGCTCAAGTGACCTCAGCTGAGACCAGAACTGCTCAGATGAGCCTCCACTGAAGTGTTGATATGAATCATAAACAAGTAAAATGGTTGTCTAACCCACTGAGTGATGGAATTACTTTTATTGCATCAGTATAAAAATATGCAATACACTACAATGCAACAAAGTACATAATATGAGATGGTAGGTATTGAAGACAGAGGAGATACTTTGTGGGAAGATTTCCTCAATATGGATAATATGAGATGAGGCAAAAGAAAAATTCTAATGGGATGAGCAAGTTCCTTGGAAGGGGCTCATTTTTCATTCATTGGAAAAACAGTTCATTTTATTTTCTATTTTATAGGAACTAAAGAAAACGGAAGAGTCAAGTGTCATTATGTAGATGGTACTCTTCAGTGACTTAGAAAACTGTAGACAAGTAGCTGGGTGGAACCATGCCAGATGGGGTCTTCGTATCATTCTGCCGTTGTGCCTTTTTGTAAATCACTCTCACTCTCACTGGCTTGGATTCAAGAGGTGGATTTCCTGACACTACTGAAATGAAAAATAAACAGTTGTCTTATATAAGCATATTCTCAGACATTACACTAGATTTATCTTAATTCCTGATGACATGTATTTTCCTAAAGATTTCCTCAAAGCAATGACAAAACCGTCATAAAACCAAGAAATGTCAAAAATATAGAGGGATTGATGAGATGTGTCTCCAAGTTCTGAATCGAAAGTCTATTATAAGGTGGACTGCTACGAGTTAGCTGTGATTAGCTAGGCTCAAATATACTAGCTCTAGTCTCAGGGGCACTTCTCCTAGTCCTATTAATGGCTTTTTTTTGAAATTTATTTTACATCCATCACCTTATTTAATCTTTACAACAATTCTAAGATTTAGACAATATTTTTATCCACAATTTTAGAGAGAAAGAACTGATGCCAGTTCTTTTCAACCCAGTTCAAAGGACACTGGAATCCTGTGGTGCCTCAAGAGCCCCTGAGCCAAAAGAGGAGGGAGGGGAAGAAAGGCCACTTGCTCTGGCTTCAACCAGAGCACATCTAATATACATAACTATACACATTGTGTTTAAAAATTAGATATTCTAAATTTCTAATTATATATTATATATATAACTAAACATATATGTATGATATGACATATATATATGGCACCCATTCAAATTTGGTTAGAGAAATTCCCAAACACTGTAGCATACCATGATGAGTCCTAATGCCCTTATGATCTACACTAGAAACTTCTTGAAGTTAGAGACCTCATCTTATCCTTTCTTTGGTCTCACAACAGTGTGGAACCTCCCTTGACCTGTGAGCCAGCCTTCGGAAGAAGGAGCCCATGGAAATCCTTGCCCTGGCGATGCTCTGGGCTCCAGAACAGCTCTGTCTAAGCATCTCCCATGACCCCTGGCAACCTTGCTGTCTGCTTCTCACTAAAGCCAATTAAATTACTCCCGGTACCTGCAGCCTTCTCGCTGTTACCACGACTCATTGAGTTCTCGCCAAAGAGGGAAGTGATGTCTTCTCCAAATATCCTGAGGCAATTTTCAATGAGAAATTGTACAAGAGAAATCTGTAACACAAAAAGACAAGAATGGGGTGCTCTTTTCCATAGGGCATAGTTATAAATCACATTTTCTATACAGACCTTGGATCTAAGAAAAAATGGGAAGGACTTCCCAGTAAAATTCAGACTTGATAAAAATACGTAGAAACCAGGGGCACCTGGGTGGCTCAGTCGGTAAAGCGTCTGCCTTCGGCTCAGGTCATGAAAGCAGGGTGCTGGGATCAGCCCTACATCACGCTCCCTGCTCAGCGGGAACCCTGCTTCTCCCTCTCCCACTCCCCCTGCTTGTGTTCCCTCTCTCGCTGTGTCTCTCTCAGTCAAGTAAATAAATAAAAGCTTAAGAAAAAACCAAAAAAACAAAAACACATAGAAACCAGAGTTCTCTCAGAAATAACTTAGAAAGAGTGATACTTTCCCGTGTACTTTGGGTATACATTTTAAAATACTGCTCATCCGTGGGCTAAAGTTATAATGCGTGGCCTAGGTTAAGAGCTAACATTTTGGGATCAGTGGTTACATCTTTAAGCCTAGGATAAATTTGGGGGCCCATCAGTTGAGCGTCTGACTCTTGATTTCGGCTCAGATCACAATCTCATGGTGGTGAGATCCAGCTCCACATGGAGCCAACTTTGGGCTCCGTGCTCAGCAGGGAATCGGCTTGGGCTTCTCCCTCTCCCTCTCCCTCTTCTTCTGCCCCTGCCCCTCTCACACTCTCTCTTTCCCTCTCTCAAATAAATACATATCAAAAAAATAAATAAAACTAGGATAATTTTCAAAGTAGCCTACCTTATTAAAGTTTATTTATTTTTTGCTTTTAAATTTTGTTTCCAGTTTTACTGAGCTGTAACTGATGTATACCATCTTATGAAACTTTATAAAGTATGAACGACAACTTAAGAAAACCATTTCTTAAATGAAGAAGTATCATAAAGTTGGGAAGCAGGGATTTTGGTGGTGTTGTGAGGGAAAACCCACACAGCTGGAGAGAAAACGTATCTGTCTGTCTAACTTCAGTCCCTTCTCACGCATTGCTTTGCCTCATGCTGGCTCTCTCTGGGTGAGCTTGGGGAAGACCTGTCATCTTATTAGGATATTCTGGAATCTCTTGCTAGTTTCCATATGACGTAGCAGAGGTGAAATAGTAGCCGAGTACTTTTCTAGATGAGCCACAATTGGCAGAGGAAGGCCAATGTGTTTGGAGGCATGGGGGCTCATATTGCCCAAGCCACCCAGGATGTGCCAGTGATGACCGGAGGAGCTGGCTGTTGTCGCCATTGTGTAGTGAGGAAACCATGGCTTTGCCCAAGGTTACGAGTCCCTCAGGGATTAGGCTGAGAGTTGAACCTTGACTGGTGAAGTTCCAAAGCCCAGGTTCTTTCCTATCGTATCACACGACTCTTCTCTCTCTCGTTTAGTCAGTCTAGTGTTTAGTCTCCTGGAGGGGGAAGAAGTGACTCGACTGCTCCGAGTTTCCCGTTTAACGACACCCCTTCCCAGACCCCGCCAGAGTAGGATAAAGAACTCTGCCACTCCACAGGGGCCTAATGAAAATGTGCACTTCACAAAGTTCCATCCGTCAGAGTTACTACTGCACTTGTCTGGTTCAAAGTAGGGATTCTACCCCCTGGGGGACAAAAATGAGAGCTCTCATTACCTTTCTTATCAAGTTGTCTTCCAATTCCAAGCTGCCGGAATCAGGTGGGTAAAGAACACTTGGGGCTATACAAACGGATAAATTATAAGCTGTCATCTGATTGGATGAGGAATGTAGCTCAATGTTGTATAGCACTCCAAAAAGGTATCGCAAGAGAACAACATTTGCTCTTGGCAGCTGGCCTAAAAGCCTAAGGTCAGAAAAACACACTTTTAAATTAGGCAAGTAATTCCACTTAAGAGGTTGGAAAAACAGAGACAGGGAACAGGATACATCCTTGTATATCTAGCACACAACCCGCTCTAGCAGAGTTCCAGGCATGAAGGTATACAAAATTGTTGCACTGAATTCAGTTCCTGAGCCAGATAACAACTTCTCTGCTTAGTTAAATGTTTCACAGACTTTTAAGGTCATAGCCCTGGAAGTCAATGCTCTAGCATCTGTCTTGGACCAGGGAATTTCGTCTACCAGTTTCATGGATCCAGAAGGGGTAAAATGGCCAAGGAGTCCACATTAATAAGATCAGGAGAAGAACAATAATAGCCCTAAAGCATGCCTCTATTCTGAAGCTGGACCCCATGGGTGTGAAGAATTGAAACTCTTTGGCGTTGGTCATGATTTTAGTAGGCAAAGCTGCAAAACGTAAGCCAATGTTTTCCTGATAGTATGTTGGGTGTATTTTGGAGATGTGACCAGAGTAGAGTAATTATGGCATCATTACCTCTGGGCTGCAGTTATCTTCTCCTCTTTGTTGCCTTGATCAATAACACTGAGCCATTTGTCATAGAGATCGGATAAAAATATACTTCCTTGGATATTTCTAAGAAAGTCCTTATGGAGATAAAAAAATATGTATATATATTATAGAAAATATTTATTGGAAATATTCCAGAGAAAATATGTAGTTAAAAAATTCAGTTCAGCCCCCACTTCCTTCACAGATACCCAAACTGGGACCCACACGGAGCTCGGCTTCGACTTTCCATTGACTTGCTCACGCAGGAGCAGGTGCTTGGATTTTCTCCCGCTAAAACTTAGAGGCATAAAAGCAGAGCTTAGCCTGTGGTGGAAATGAAGATAAAGCTCCCTTCTATCATCTGGAACTTATTTTGTGTGAGTGCTTTTTTTTTTGCAAAGTACCACAAACTGACAGGGTCTGGCTATAGACCATCCTAAATCCTATTAGCTTCCTGGACAGAAATACACATACCCATGTTGCTTGTTTTAGACAAGGTGCTAGCTCTTAATTCTAGCAAGAAAAGTCCTGAAACAATCAAAACACAAACAGGTGGGCTCTTGCACACATATTAGGAAAGAACTAGGTCTTCTCACTCGGGGTAGGTGTGCTCCCTGGAAGAAAGCTACTCTCACAATTGCTTCATTCTTCCTTTTCTTAACTGTCTAAAAGTCGAGAGTCTAATGGCAGACTCACTGTGGTCCTGAGGATAGATTCATTTCTAGTTTAGGACAATTGTCCAGTTAGTTTGCCATGATATTATCAAGGCCAAGGTTGCAGAGTCTGATTCTCCACCAAGATCCGTCAACTTCAGGAAGAGAAAACTTTAGAAATGTCTAAGCACCATACCCACAAGTGCACACCCTCTTCCTAGTTGGTGCTGATAACACAGAATCAGGAAGGAACCTCCTAACTCTTGCTAAAAAATCGATTCCATGTGTGCACCTTACAGAGGGCAACGCTCATCTTGCTACCTAGTGTATCATCATTCTTCTCCTGTCTCCCAATGCCTACATGTATATTACTACTGGATATCACTATGGCCCCAGAGTAGGAGTGGTTACCTAAGTCATTTGCTATTTATCACATCTTCGAACATTAACGGGGGACAAGGGAAGACCAAATGTGACTGAGATTCAAAGACTGTACTCATTACTACATTAACATAGGGTTGTTCAGAGCTGTTAATTAGTGCCAAGGTGGATGGATTAAATTTTTTCCCTGCTCCATTTCTTTTGGAAACTTTGCCATCATTAGCAGGGTGGTGAGGATGTCTGTTTCGGTAAACAGTGTGTTTGTGTCAGTGCGTATTTTGAAATTTATTATCATGACTAGTAGTCATTTCAGTATTAGTATTTTGCATGGAGTCTTCAGGAGTGGAGGTGGGGAGGGCGGTGTGTAGTGAAAACAGAAAGTATTTCTAACACATGGGGCTTTTAACTCCTAAAGTAGCTTCCTTAAATTTTGATTTTGTCAAGCATTTTCAGCTTGTCAGGTTCTTAATCTGTTATGTCCATTACAGTTCTTGAGCAGTCATGATGAAGGACACCAATCATAGCTTCAGTTACTCACGTGTGGATAATGCTAGAACCTTCCCTACCTTGAAGACGGATGCGACCACATGAACAGATTCGCTGTACGGGTTCACTTTGACCCCAGAATTTAGTTTTTTCTTTAGGACTCTGCAGGATTTTATATTGGCTGATTTGCGGAAGACGCCTTCTGTGAGTGGCCCTTTTTGATTAATAAAGGAAAGCATATCCTGTAGGAAGAAAAGAAAAGTATATGGCATCTCATATCCACAAACGCAGAGCACAAGCTTGCCTCCGTTTTGAAAGAGGAGGGGAATGTAATGGTACACTGTTTTTGAGCTGGAAGGACTAAAGTCAATTTAGATTGTTTTTTTTTTTCAGTGTCTCTCTATATACTTTCTACCGAAATATCTATTTTACAGTCATACACTGAAACATTTTAAACACTTCTTTTAATCAGATTTTCCTTTCCACTGAGTTTCCACTTTTAAATCAAACTTCTCTGCTTCAAAGCCTTTGGGGAATCACCATCTGTTTCCTACTTTAGCATTTCTTTCTCATTATTCCCTACATAGATGCTCTTCCCCAAGTATGGAAGTCTATTTAGGAAATACTCATTTCCCATTTGTTTATTTCTCTTTAAGTGACTGTATACTCCTTTCCTACTTGTTCTATTTCCTTCCCTCTTTTAAAGTCAGGCTCAGGAACTCTCTTCTCCTTCTCTGATTACCCTCCCTTCTCATGAGTCTTTCATTGTCTTTTGCTGTATCTTCATGTCCTCTCCCTGCTGTGTAGAATCTTAATAAGGGCTGGACTCAGGGAATCCAACGGATCTGAAGTCTATTATGCTACTTATCTATTGTGTGAGCTGGGGCACACGCATCCTGTACTGAGGCTTTTCTGATTCGTTTAGGCAGTGCGGAGGATGATAATCCTAGCTAGCCCCTAAATTTGCTGTGATGCATGGACCTGGGGTAGTAGCTAGCAGGTAACATGCTAGCTAAGGTGATATATTTCTTCATAGCTAGCGGAACGTTCCCTACATCC